TTGTATCACGAACGACTTTTTTCAGTGTAGGTAAATCATTTACTTAATGTAGATATATAAATACTAATTGGGACGTTGATTGTTCAACATATCATCGATGTCAATACCTTAATTTTCTATTAAATGAATGCGAGTAAATATTTCTTCGTAAATAATTATTACATATTATTCATGCTTTTTTATTGCGAAATTTTTGGTAGATCTAGTTTTCCATTAAATGATTATGTCGCAGTTTTAAAGTAAAAATATTGCTTAAATAATTACATTGAATTGCAAAATCTTGCGTTGTAAGTGAAATCATAAAAAAGAATTGCCCTTACTTTTAAAAAAATATAACCTAACATGGTAGGAAATACAAATAGAAATGAAATTTTCAATTAGTACCATAACTCTTTATGGTTTATTATTACTAATTAAAAACGAACCTTTGGATAAGTTATTTATGGTTGAGAACCAGATAGCTTGCTGTGTTGTAATGTAATTTACTTGATAAGTTCATCATCAGATCCAGTCAAAAACATTTTTAATTGTACAAATATTATAAATTATATATTAAATCTACTCTCATAAATTACTGATTAGCATCATGATAGATTACGATGAGTGGAACACATGTTATTACTAATTAGAAAGTTTAGGATAAAATAAAATCAACTATAATTTATAATAAAGGTAGACACAAGACACTCTGTACCAGTGGCGTGGCGAAGTAGATTTTTTGGGGCAACCGCCCCTAGTACAACCCAGGAGTGGTTGGGTGCTTATGTTAGTGGGTGATATCTAAGGGTAAATAATATATTAATTTACCTTTATGACATTTGTCATTCAACTGCAGTATACTATTCTAGAATTCTTATTTACTATTATTATTATTATAATTATTTAGAATTGGTTAATAATAAAAATAAAAATAATAACTTTTTTAGAGGTTTGTAATAAAATTATGGGGGGGGGGGGGGATATACAAATCTGCGAGACGTGGGTGGGTACCAAAAAAATGTATTCGCCCCTACTATAAAATCTTGTCGCCACGCCACTGCTCTGTACACCCAAAGGCTATAGAGAAATACAAATATATAACAATACATAAGCGGAACTTGATCAATTTATTTGGAGGGGCTGAAGTTAAGGCTTTAATCTATTGTTTATAAGTTTCAATATTTACATGAATAAAATATAACTTATATTTAAAAAATTAATTTAAATGGCTTTATTAATTATGAAAAAACGCATTATTTACTTTATATTTTAATTTTAAATCCTTGCCAAAATTAATCATTGGTGAAAAAATGTGTTTGAAAAGTTAATACACTAGGTACCTATACACTTAGGTAAATAAGAATCAAAATAGCATTATTTGTACTTGATTTTTAATTATTTTTTTGCTTACAAAAAAATTGGATATAAATGAAATGAAAAAAAAATATATATAAACGTAAAATCACTGATGCACTTAGTTTTAATAATTTATAAATATACATTTAGGTAAACAACATAGTAAATTAATAATAAAAACTTCAATCGTAAAGTCAAACTTAGGGTTAGGTGAATAAATAATTCATTATCCTTTTTGGTATTAATTATCATATAATATTATGTTATATCGTTTTAACTTTTAAGAGTAACTTAGTGTATAATACTTTAACTACGATTTAGCCTCTCTGTGCATACTGACTTATCCCTAATATAATATAAAAATATTTGTACAAAATCAAGAAACCCTAGTGGCTAGTTGCAATGTTATTAATGTTTTCAATTTTTCATTTAATAATGTGCGCAACGTTATGAAACGATTTTCATATAGTCAATTGAACAACTTATTTTTGTTGTTATTAGAATATAAATAATGTTACCTAATACAAAAATACTTAAAAATGACCATATTCAATCATAGTCAGTACAGCAAGCTTTTTCGTGGGGAGGGGGGGTATAATTGTACATATTTTAGGAGAGCTTAGTCCTCCTTCTTCATATTTTTATTTTTAACCATTATTTTACTGTAGAACATTCATAAATCTATAAATTTATTTTAAGATCATAACAATATTATCAGTATCGTCCTATTTAAATTTTTTTCCAGAACAGTTCTTGTTTTGTAACGTTTGCAACGATGTGAAAATGTAAAATATTATTTCACATTCATATTATACATTATCCACGAATGTTATCGGAAAATACATTTTGTGTTTTTGCAAAACAATTATTATTGTTGTTTGAGATTAGACTTCTTGTTTTGTTTGTATATACTATAATAATAATATGGGTAGGTACAAAACAGTATAATATATTATTATTATTGTTGCCATGGTTGCACACGCTCGTCCGATTTCCAATAACAATATGGCACGTCCCCCATATTATTATAATAACGCAGATGTTAAATTCATTTAGCTTATTTCTTTTTCGACACCTCTCTTTAATCGGATTTCATTGTAAACATTTCTTCTATTTTATTTTTTTGACCAAACAGTTGTTTATCCAATACACTATTATTATATTATATTATATTATATTTACATATGTAAATTGTTATCGGCAAAGTGTTGAATATTGACATTCTATAGAATCCCTTGTACTATTTGGTAATGCATTGAGTTTAAATATTATTTTTAATTATTCCTAAGCAATATATACAATTCTTAGCATTTCTATGGCATAGTCAATGTTAGGTAAAGTATAAAGTTTTTTAATAGTATTAAATCAAAATAATTTGCTTATTATTTTAATGTATTTTTAAACATTTACATTATTTAATTATATATTTATTCATTACAGCATGCAGTTAGTGCATGACATTTTGAACTCTATAAAATATTATATTTTACACAAAAACAATTTTTGGTTTGACATTTTGACGTGCATGTCCATTTCACAAAAGTTTGCGCAGTGTCCGTGGACTGTTGGGTCGCTATTATCCATAAAGCAAATATATTTTCCATTGGGACTTCGTCAATTGTTAATAAATTTGTTTCCCATTTTGTGAATTTAGTCCTTGAGGCTTCAGTATAGAGTTTTAAAAGCCTTGCCCTAATTCCTAAACGATAATACCCATCAGCCGAAATAATATTATTATTGTCATAAAAAATAAAATAATGTCTTAATAACCATGTTTTATTTTATGTCTTAGCTATAAAACAACATCTAAAACATTTCGATAGTCTCCGTGAATTTTGATTACATAGGGTACTGGAACTCGAACCGTAACACAAAACTCTGAGGGTTAATGTTTTTTATCTGACCAACTGTGATGTTTAATTTTATACATTTTCAACTATTGAGTTAAACTATTTTAGTTAATCGTTATTCTATATAATTATTATACAAATTGTATACATTTCCTATTAATTATTGTTGGTATTTTATAGAAGGCATAGGCATTCTATAAGACTTACATGGATTCTGCACTTGTAGTATAAAACAAAATATATTAAAATTAATTTAATATGGTAATTTTTAAGCAAAACCAATTTTTGGAAAATTCGATTTTGGTGAAACTGAAAGACTAATAACCGTACACACTTGAAATGTTCATCAAATATTTATAATAGCATTTTCCATGCCTGGACACATTTTTGAAATATTTTGACTCTTTTTGAGCTATTAATAGCTAGAAAAAATTTTCAAATGTTGTAAATTATTTTTCATTAAAAAATTCATAAAAGTTTTTCTTTTAGCCAGCTAATATTAGAAATTGGAATAGAAGATTCCCGAGATTTTTTTCTAATATCAAAAAAAAATTTCACCATTACTCTATCGATAGCGAAAAGATATTTTCGATTTTTAAGCATTTATTTTTTTAACTATTAAATTTGATTATTTACGAGCATGCTATAACGACGCAAAACGTCTCAGCTCAGAACCGTTTTTCGTATTCAACGATTAATAATTGAATTCAAATATAACACATCCATTAGATTAGATACAACCACTACTGCACAGCACAGCGGTAATCACTTGCACACTTTTTTTTAAATATGAAGATTATTACTAAATAAAATATACATATAACACGTGAACTACATAATTGTGATTTTTAATGATAACAGTTATTCAAAATTCAAACTAACGCCGAAGTTTAGATTCACAATCGTCATTGAAGTAAAAGTTATCAACGGTATTCCAAGTCCGAAGGTTTAAATATCATACCATCAAAATAGTAACATAATACACAATATTATTTACCGTGTACGTAAAATCAACAATACGTACGTATATACTCTTATAGTCTTATATACTTTTACACTCCAGTCGATATGTGATTTAAAGAGGTTATATGTTTAATATTATGTGCAAGTGTGTGCTGGATTGAAAAAAATAATTAAAGGAGGTCACTGGTCAGAATTATATTGCAACTCAATAACTTAGCGTGTTCATTAATGTGTGTGTGTGTGTGTGTGTGTGTGTGTGTGACGAAACGGTTTGTATTGCAAAGGGTGACTGGCGCGAAGAGACCAATATAGCGCGGGGATAAAAGGCTTGCCTCCGGAGAACGTTCGGTGTGCAGGATCAAGAGGAGGAGGAGCAGGAAGAGGTGGCGGCGGCGTGAAGAGAAAATGTACAGCTAGAGAATAGCGTTTCCGTCTGGCGACGGTGAAAAACGGTCGGACGACTCGCGCACGCGCTACACGGAGTCCGGGTGCAGCCGGCGGCGCGCGCGGCGTGCATTTCCGATATACACCGTGAGCGCGACGACGACGCGCAAATGACACTCCGGTGCCGGCGATTTTTCGGCGCTCTCTGTTTGCAGACGAGCGCTCGCGCGCGCGCGCGCGCACATACACGCGCGCGCGAGCTTCGACGCACCGTAACGCTCTCTAGCCGCCGTCGCTACACGTATATATATATATATATTAATAAATACACATCGGTGGGTGACGAAGGGTGGCGGGTGCCGTCGGTCGGCGGTGGGTGGCGGTGGACCCTGCGCGGGGTGAGGCGGCAGCGGACACACCGTAATACCGCGGGTTAGGGAAACGCGAATCTACACCGCCGCCGCCGGTCGCAACACACGATTTACGGGGCCATACGCGCACGCACACCGGACGCAGCACGACGTGGTACGACCGCGAGACCACGACACCGCGCGACGGACGGTTTCGTTTCGGCGGATTTTCGTCGGGTGAAAAAATTTCCAGTAAAACCATCACGCTCTCGTCGACCACGGCCAAACGCTCTCCCGGGACGACGACAGTCGTATATTATTATTTTACGCCGGCCACCACCGTTACTTTGACCGAATTTTTCCAGCGACTTTCAGGCCTCTCCGCGGTATATATACACAATATTATTATATGATATTTAAACCCGAATAAATTTGATTCGTCATTGCTGTATCAAAACGGCCGGTGCCGGAGAGAAACGGGCAAGCCACACGATCCATTATAATAATAAAATATTTCGAAAAAATATCGATTTTCCAAACAAACTCGCAACGGTCTTTGCCTCTAATCACCGTCGACACGTTATCGCGGAGTGGTGCAGGTGGTGGTGGTCGTTTGAAAATATACAAATTATAATGGATGTGTAATATCATCCAAAACGTACCATAAGCTGTATCGTTGAAAAGCCCGCTGCGGTTTTGACCATGTCTCTTGACGATGTTTAAGCGATTCGGCCATAACGAGATGCCTGTCGTGGTATTGTGCAGGTAACTTATATTTTTTATTATTGTAATTACTTTTGTTACCATCATTGTTGTTACCTTATTTGTTTTTTACTTTTTTGAGGGATTCGAGAAATTTAAATTTTTATAAGGGGTTTTCCCATTTTGAGCCAACTCTGGTGGCAGTAGTTACCCGATTTGAAGATATACTAACATTTAGAAAATTCTCAACTATTAATAATTTAAGTAACAAAAATGAAAAACAAAATATTATTAGTCGAACATAATACAACATTAATAATTCCCAACTATAAACACAGGGTTTAAATCAAAAACAAATAAAACCGTTTACGGTTATAGGAATATTAAACGTTATGATCGATAGACTGTTTAACGTTATAAAGAATTTAAATTTTAAACGTTATTCAATTTATGTGTTTAGAGTTATTAACAATTAAAACGTTGTGATTAATTAAGCATTTTACCTAATTTGAAGTAATGTAACATTTGAAACTTTGAACGTGTTTTAAATGTTGTATTTACCGCTGAATAGTTAATGCTATGAAACATAACATAATACCTATAATATATTGTCAATTCAACATTTGCATTCAAACATTGTATAAGTACTTGTATTTATAATTTAAGCATTCATTTTTATAGTTTTATTGAAAAAACCACAAGTCTTGACATTAGACAAATTATTTTTACTTTTCACTTGAATTACGTTTTTGAACTAAAATAAATGATTTTTTTTGACCTAATTGAATTTTCATCGTATATTATTCTCAATTTGGTTGTTTCATTGACAGATCGTTATATTAAGGTAGATCTTTTATTTTAGATTTTTAGATCATCGATCTCATTTTCTATGATGTTCACATCATGTGTATGCATTATTTGGGCTTTTATAGCTCCACCAGATGAATGTTTTGCAGTACCTTTACAAAATTAATAAAATCGTACCAAATGGCTAAGAACATAATCAAATAATAAACAATAATTAACAATTTTAATTTTCAAATTCATAATACAACACAATGTTTCATTTACAATCAATATTTATAACCTAACATTGAATTATATAAGTTATCTATACTTCCCTTCTTAAATGTTGTATAACAGGTACCTACCTATATTATACAATAGTAAATAGTAGGTACATACATAGTTTTAAAAGCACCCAATACAAATTATTTTTAGGTTCAGTTTGTTGCATAATAAAAACACATTAAATGTTTTTGTGTATATATAGTGTGCAGATTTGAATGTAATTATATCAATAAAATATTCATTTCTTAAATCAATATATGTATGCAAATAACATATGCTGAAAATTATTAATATTGCACCTATTGTAGTATAATTTAATTATTATAATTATTGGTCTGTGGGTTGAAAAATTTTAAATATGGTGTAAAAACAGATTCGTGTATCGTTATTGACTTAAAAAATTATAAAAGTTCCTAAGTACCTAGACACATTATGTATTGATTTATTTATCAAATATATTCAATAGTCAAAACTAAAATTTTAATAATATTACATTTCAAATATTAAATAAGTAATAATCTAATAAGTAAGTTAGTACAATTAACCGAACAACCTTTTTTACACCTCCATTATATTCACCACGATAATCTTCATAAACTATTGGATCCATTTTAAAAACGAGTATTAAGACTTGAACTTATTGATGAATACCACTTTAAAAGCCACTTAAATAACTTACAAGCAAATATGTATACAACTTACTAACAATCTTACTAAGTTGTAAACGAATAGAAGGGTCGCCCCATTGTCACCTTTGCTTTGATATTGGCTCATTGCAATATTTCAATATATAAAGGTATATTAGTTTATATTAAATATGAACTAAAATAATATAATAAATTATACATATACATGATAGTATGATAGATAATAATAAATACATCTAATCGCGTAGCACAAAATATAATATAGGCTTCAAGAAATTGCCTATATAGTACTCTTGCATCACTGTACTCCTGAATATTACTTTCCTATATAAAATATTTTCCCGACATTGAAATTCCCATGTATTATTTTCTAGTATAAATATTTTCGTGATTTTTGAATTCATATAAATTATTTTACCCTTTTTTTATTTTTCTATGTTTTAAATTCCTACGAACTAATTTCCCGGGAAAGTTTTTCCCATGTAATATTTTCCTGGTTTTTATTTTCCTACAAATTATTGTTCCCAAGTATTATTTTCATACATTTTGTTTTCCTGTTTTTGTCATTCCTCCAAATAGCTTTCTTGAGTTTTATAGCCCTTCTAACGATAACACAATATTTTTATTGCAATTTATGTGAGCTACTTTATTTACGTATTATTTCAATATAAAACAGACATAATGCCATACTTCTAGTAATTATTATAATATCACAATATTAGTATTGTGATAATCGACATTTACGGTTGTGACAGTGAATCGTCTACGTGTACATTTTCGTATAGACAATTCAATTATAATTAAAGCACTCCGTTTAATTAAATCAAATTATATCCTACCTACCCATAATATTATTATATTTACAGTAAGTTAATATGATAATTTTTTTTTAATGCTTTAAATCTGAATGACTTATTTTTAAAATATAATTATTACTATAATACAAAATAATATTACCAATGTTCCATTTTTAATTACATTTATCTTAAATAATGTCTAATATTCTTAATTGTTTCTATTTATTTTCTTATAAAAAAACTTAAACTGTTTAATTCGTTGTTAATTATAATAACTAATAATGAATAAACTATATAATTAAATTTATCATCAAGTATAAATGGTTAAATGTACGTTACATATACTTAGAAATTAAACATAAATTGTTTGATATTCATAATATATAATATATTATATTAGTTACATTTGTATTTTATACATAATATTATGATTAATACGAAATTAATTTCGTTCAATAAATATTCGTTTAACTATGTATGCATTAGACAGACAACAAAATGTAATAATACAGTAGAAGAGACACTGCAATACAGATATTAATAGCCATATACAGCCATAGTCGTATAAAATAATAACAAATACCTAATAGTAAATACATATTCATACCTGCCCGATTTTTCTGCCTCAAACTCCGTACATCGATAAGGCCGAAGCTGCTGACTTGACTTTTTGTAAACATCGTCAATACTGATTAGCATAAACGAGCATTTTAAACAACTTTCAAAAATTAAATATGATAACATATTGGAGCCGTTGTTCGTAGTTGCATCATTATATATATGTACACTAAATATGTTGCTACCATGCCGCAAACGAAAGCCGCCATGATTTTCTTTATCATTTTTTACAACGTCCGTACTCCAACAGATTTTTATTTGTGTCTTCTAAATATATATGTATCTAAATTATAAACAGATTTAATTTTATAAATCATTACATATTGGCTCATATTGGCAAAATGTCTAAAGAAAAATTATAATAAAAACTTTTTTCTCTTAATTAAAAAATGATTTAAATTACTTATATTTAACAAGTTGACTGAATTAATAATTTCACCAATCTTGCTACTAACGCCTTGACTCTTGAGTGTCATATTATATCCACTTGGTAATTTTATGAAGCCGGGAAGAGTTGTATAGTCAAATATAATACTCGTATTTTTTATCAGAATTTCTAATATGTGATAGATATAAATAAATAATCTCAAGACGAAATTAAAAAGTTTAGGTAAGTAAAATATTAAGAACACATTCAAATATAATTAATTTTAAGTATTTAATTTATTAATTAAAAATTTGAAGTGTATTAAATACTATGATACCCAAGGCAGTCAACTCGTTACAAATACATTTCCAAATTATTCATGTTCCTCTAAAAAATGAACGAAATTCACGTGTAAAGAACTAAGTTCCCGATAAGTAAATTGAATATTGAACGAAATTAATTCCATGCAATACCTACGTCATAATATTTGATATTTAGATAGAATGTCAATTATACATTTTCTATTAATGTAATACATTTATCTAAATGTTAAAAAAACCATTAACTATAGTTTATTTTAAACAAAATATAAAACGTTGGTTATTTATGGTTGTATTAGTTATTATTGTTTAAATATTGTTGAATTTACGAAAACGTACGATTAATATTTTACAATTTTATGATATTTTCCTGCTATAGTAAATACATACAACAATTTTAAATCGAATGAGAGAGTAATAAATCAGAGAGTAATAAAGCAATATTTTTAAAAGCCAAATTGGAAGTTGTGGCGCAAAAAATAGTTATAGGGTACATTATTTCCCCAAAATATTTATAATATCGTTTAAGGATTTATTTATTTTAATATTAATGCTTTTACCAAAAGTTATATAAAATATATGACCTACTATACATAATACATTTAGCATTTGATTTAAACGAGTAAATCCATTATTTATATTTGCCTAAAAATTGATTTGATTTTCGCATTGAGAATAATAATTTTTACGTTTAATATTTGACTTTAGGTTGTATGTACAAAATAACGTATAAATTAATCAACTATTTAAATTTGAAATTTTATCAAATTAATTTGAAGAAAAAATACAAATTAATATTTTATTTTAAAGACATTTGGTGGTTGTGTACTTTTGGCGTACACTAAATTCGAATTTTCCCTGTGTAAAATTGGAAGATTACGTTGTTTAGTAGTTCGATGGTCATTGCCAAAAGGGCTTATTGCCAAACAATTCAGAGAAAAATTATTTTCCAAACACGTTTTCGTGCTGAACATTATTATCAACAAGATTTGTATCTATTATTTGTTTAAATATGACAGTAGAAAAAAAACCAAGAAAATGGAGTAGGTCGGTATGACGTGAGATTATACTGATTTTGGATCAAGAATGTAATTCGATACCTACTCTGTCATTTTATGAAATATTAGGCAAACTCGTCAAATTGTAAATATGTACATTTTAAAATGCACGAACTATAATTACATTTTTAAAACTAGCTTCGTAATTATGACTTCATCTAATAATTAATGTAATGTATTATTCA